CTATGTGAGAATGGGAAAAAACAGGGAGGGGCAAATAAATGAAAGTATTTGTAGTAAGGCTGGTTTTTTTAAGGGTCTGAGGTGATTGACACATGAAAGTCTTAGAAAATGCTGTGTTTGAAATGCTATCTAAGCCATTTAAAATCCTCCATAAGAGTCTCACTAAGATTTATATTCCTTTTCAAGAGGTTATGGAAATAGATCTGTTTTTATTTTTAACATGGTCATATGATAATATTGACTTCAAGGCAAGAAAAGAAAAACTCACATGTTAACTAAGGCCAAAACACTTATTTATGAGCAGGTAAATAAAATACATTTGGGGAAATCATAGAAATTCAGTCTGAATATAGATACCCACATGTGTCAAACAAACAAGAATATTATAAGACCAAATAAAACAACTGGGACCAGATACCAGACAATCTTGAAGTAGAATTATTTGTCAAAAAACCCACAATTCCTTAAATTTATTATCCTCCTTTTTAAAAAAAAAATCCAGTGTGTCTCCTAAGATGTTTAGAAACTTTCAGTTCTTGAAGAACTTATCAACAGAACAGTAGACAAAATATCAACCATCACCAGCATCTCTTAGAAAGACATAAACTATGACAAGAGAGATCATAATAAACTCTAAATGCTGTCTCCATAGAGTTTAATGTTTTCATTTTTAGTGATACCCAGCACAGTAAACATGCCTATGAGTGCAAAATACATCAGACCTGTTTACTGATAGATACACAATGTACAAAAATCAGATCGATGAAGAAAGCTATTATTCAGTAGTCATAGCACAGTGGTTCTCAACCACTGAATTTTGAGTTTATTGTCAAAACCATGTTTGAGGATAATAGGGTTTGATATAAATGGAAGACATAAAGAAATGAAAATTCAAGGACTAGAGAGACAAAGACCATGAAGGGGAACCACTCTTTGCATGCAACAGACCTGCACATGATCCCTAGGACCAACTGCTCCCCAGGATCCCTTCAAGGACCAACTCACTAGCACTGCTAATTTTGATCCCAAGACCAAAAAATGCGACTTTTTTTCTTATTTAATCACCATGAGACCAGTTACAACGCTTTCAGATATAAGTCTCGGTCATACAATGATCAAACACCCATCCCTTCACCAGTGCACATTTTCCACCACCAAGAACCCCAATATACACCTCCTCCATCCCTCTCCCTGCCAGTGTGGCAGATGATTTCCACTTTAAGTTCTCTCCACTTTGTTTACATTCAATTTTTTGACAGAAGACCTACCATTATTATTTGGAATTTACCCCCAACATTCAGACCTGGAGAGAAGGCATCATTAGATAATTTGTTTTATATTGCTGATAATGAAGAGCATATGATGTCATGCCACCACCCAATTTTGGATTTCCGATATTTTAGTAATTAAGTTCAGAGGGATTTCTGCCAGAAGCCACTGGGTTTTGGGATTGGTTTGTGTGCCTTTGGGATCATGACGATTCAGGAGCCAGAGGAGCCATTTGTGGGCGGCAACTCGGAGTCTTGTCAGGGCAGGGAGAAGGGCCGGTTCCAGTTCCCATCCCATGAGACCCTGTGTATCTCGTCATTGCAGACTTATAGCTCTCAGTCCAATAGGCTCTAAAAGATGGCGGTCACTATGCCTCCAAGGGGAAGAAGGTGGAAGTAACAACATCCTTTTACCCCACCCCCCGCCTCGAGGTGGCACCAGACCATAGCGTAATTCGCAGTCCAGAAGCATGAGCTACTGTGAGATACAGTTACAAAGCTTTCATGTTTGATATTCAGCTATACAATGATTGATCACCCATCCCTCCACCAGTGCAAACTTTCTACCACCAATATCTCCTTATCCCCTCCATTTCCATCTCAGTCCTTACCCTGTCTCTACAGCAGACAATTGCTCAGATACTCTCTCTATAGTTTTGGACATTATATTTTGCTTGGATATTCCCACCACCATTAAAGCCTGCCTTCTAGGGGCAGACGCTAGACCATCTATTTTCCATTGCTCATTTTGTATATCAGGAAAGGTCTCACAGTTCAGAAGACTAGGCCTGGTGCCCACATACCGGAGCCATGCTTCTAGAAGCTCACTGTCTCCAGGATTCCATCTGGACAAGGTGGGGAGACTGCACTTGCTCCATCTGGGACATCCAGCTCAGTTTGGGGTCCGGAAAATTCTCCGGTGTTGTGGTGCCTGCCGGGTTTATTCACTTGCAATGTATTTTATAATGATAGATAATTTTGTTTTTAACCCAGTTCTGCTAATTATTTTGCACAATATTTTGTTAAACACCACAATAATTATAAAAAATTAAAATACAATTAGTGTTTACAAACAATATATCTAAGATTAGTTTAGTAGTAGTAAAATGATCTATGCTAGGTAGGAAACATGGCTCAATATGACAATATTGTAGCACTGTAGCACTGTCCTCAAATTCATCAATTTGCCCGAGCAGGCCCAGTAATGTCTCCATTGTGAGACTTTGTTGTTATTGTGTTTGGCATATCGAATACGTCACAAGGAGCTTGCCAGGCTTTGCCATGCGGGTGAGAAAATCTTGGAAGCTTGCCGGGCTCTCCAAGAGGTGCAGAGGAACCAAACTCAGGTTGGCCGCATGCAAGGCAAACACCCTACCCGCTGTGCTATCACTCCAGCCCCAGTTCTAGACTACTACTGATTATTTGTCATGGGCTGGAGTGATAGCACAGTGGGTAGGGCATTTTCCTTGCATGCAGTTAACCTGAGTTCGGTTCCTCTGCCCCTCTCAGAGAGCCCGGCAAGCAACCGTGAATATCTCGCCCGCATGGCAAAGCCTGGGCAAGCTACCTGTGACATGATAATATTGACAATATCAAAATCCAGATCATGTTGGTTTCAATTCCTGTGTCCTTTACAATAGACCCCAGGTGAAGTAAATTGAGTGTACTCCTTAGAGGGTGTCTGTTTAGCCACAAAGACCTCTTTGTTGCATTTTTCTCATTTCTTCAAAGCACAAAATTGTCTAGCTGTTCTATAGTGATTCTTTGTAAAGTATAGTTATTTGTAGTGTTGGGTTTATTGATCTAAGGATGGGTATAGGAATGATATCTCTGACTTTTTAAAATTAATGACAAAAATGTAAAATTACGTGTAACATGCATAGCTGTGTAAATTGGGGAGCAGAGGATATCAAATTACAAAGAAAGGGAATTAGTATGACTAGAGAGAGAAAGAGCCATTTCTTACTGGGGTCTCAATCCTTTCTACTCCAAGAATCTAACACCAACCCTTCCAGTGGCCTAGCTACCTTCTTCCCACTGAGTTCTACAACATTCCTGTGTTCTGTTATAATTTGTCAATCTGCTTAGTGTAAGTTAGCTCCAACTCGTTTTCATTATTTATAATATAATAGTTTGAATTTCAAAATATATCAAAGTTCTTTTTAATTATATGTCAATTTATTATTTAAGATGTACAAAATCCCTTAGCAAGTTAGAGGCAAACAGAGCTATCTTAATCCATACCGGGAGACCATCTGAGCCCGCCTCTGCTGAGTGCTATTCTCAGGGTCCTTTGTTGGGAAGTGTACCCTGTCCTTTAATGAAGCTCTTTTAGCACTTCTTGCAAAACTAGTTTCACCTTGAATTCAGATGCTGTTGCCTGTCCATAAAGCTCTTCATTGTTTGTTAAAATCTAGATGATAATATAGCTGGAATGAGTAATTCTGGTGAGGTGTTCATTTCTTTGAGATTTTGTACTATATCCCTATGTTTTCTTCTGACTCATATAGCATCATTTGATACATCTGATGTAAATTTTATGGGATTTCCTTTGTATGTAAGTTGAATTTTTATCTTGCTGCTTTAAATATATTCTCCAGCTTTGGCCTTTGTTATTTTGAGTATAATATCTTGGAGCTTTACTAGTTGAGTCATTTCTGCTGCAACATTCTGTACCTCTCAGATCTTGGTGCCTATATTCCTCAACTCTGGATAATCTTATCAATTATTTCTTTAACTATTTTTTTCTTAATTAAATTTTACTTCTGGTTCCTCAGGGACTCTATTTTTGGATTGTTCCTCTTGAACTCTATTTATAGTTCTCTTGATTTTGTTTCCTACCAGCTTCTTCCTTCTCATATTTACCTTCTTGATCCTTTGCTCAGCTGCTGTTATTCTATGAAGAACTTCTGTAGAATTTTTATACCTTCTACATGCTCTTCATTTGTCATTTCTGATTGTAGCAGTTCTCTCATTTCAACTCTAATACTTTCTTGTGACTATTGTATTATTGTTTTTTGGAGCTCATTGAACATCCTTCTCATGGTGTCACTGAAGATATTGTATGAGAATTTACTGACTTGGCTGATGTTTGTGACTGCTGTGATATTGTTTTACTTATTGAACTTGGTTGGCTTCTATGTATTCCCTCTCATGGTTTTCTGCTGTTTTTGCTGTGCTGGGGAATGTTTGGGGGTAGTGAGTGTATTTTATTAGAAGTTGCTGAAGAATTAGGCTGTTGTTGCTCTCTTCCTTCTCTGCCTATCTTCACCAAATTACTAGAAGTATAATTGTGAGATGCATCTAAGTTTGATTTGTCACACAGTCACATATATGGACCTATGTTTTAGGAGCTGTGGGTGGGTTCGTTACTATGGTGCAGGTGAGCCGTAGAGGCTGCTTGGACGTAGGCAGAGGGAGGATCTTTGTCTCATATCCCAGAGTTCGAGCAGCAAGCATATGTCACAGGGTTGAATTTTTTTTGTTTAATGTAATATATACTTTATTGAATCACCATGGGCAACACTCACAAAGCTTTCCTGTTTGAGTTTCAGTCATACAATGATCCAACACCATTCCTCCACCAGTGTACTTTTCCACCATCGATGTCCCCAGTACCCCTCCCTATCCCCTCCAGAGTTCCACCCCTCCCTCAGCCTCTATGGCAGGCAGTTTCTCTCTTACTCTCTCTCTACTATTGGGCATTATGGTTTGCAGTACAGATAATGAGAGGCCATCATGCTTGACTGTGTCCTCTCCCTCTCACTCTTCCAAGGGCAGAGAAGAAGGATCATCAATGGTAAAAGGCAGCTGCAAAGGCAACACCTAGAATGGACCTTATGCTCAGGAAAGGAGGTTCTGGCTCCTCATGGTTTTAGGTTCTCTACTAGATCAGAGAAACTTCTCTAGTAGTGAACTACAGAAATGATCCCCAAAGCTGAGTTTTATCGAGAATATAAATTCAAAAAATTTTGCTAGCTTCAAAAATAAAGCTGGATCTGTAAGAATATAGATCTTTTCTTATTTAGATCTGGTGTATATATAAATGCATGACTGTATGAGATACTTGAAGTCATACAGATGACCTCATTCATGCTAATAAGCAAATAGCTCTTTTGCCTATCCCAAATAAAGGATTACCACCAAAGAAAATTCAGTCTTGTAGTGGGGTCTTACTCAAAACTTGAAAGGCCTTCATATAAGCTGTTGTCTAAATGAAGGGAACTTTACCAAGTTCTGAGCACTGCCACATCTGGCTGTGAAAAATAATGAAATTTATAGTTGGGTTCATCTTTCCAGGATAAAATTAGTTAGTTCCACCTACCTCAAACAGTGAGAAAAATCAGGGTGGAGAACAAAATGTATTTAAAAAAATTAGAAAATGCTCCTTTTGTAAAAGCTAAGTATCATGTCTCTTTATCTAAAACTGCTCTTAATAGTGATTATTGGTATGCAACCAACGGAAACGGGGTCTAACATATTTCTGGTGGGCCCACCAGTATGCAGACGGAAAAAGTCCAAGTCCATGCTGGGTGTGTGGGTTCATTTCCATCTCTAAAACTCCAGCAGTGCTCTGGTGAGTGTTCCCATTTCAGGGAACAGATTGTTCCGCTCGTCAGGAGCTCATCAACCGATAAGAATCTCTTCCTTTATAAGAAACTCTTGCTTCAGACATCTCTATTATCAGGCCCAGTGTAATTGAATGACCTGGTATTTAACTTCTGTTTAACCATTCCAGAGAGAGTGTTTTACCAAGGACAGAGAAAAAAAATACTTTCACACTTTCAGTTCTAACCATATTCTCTCTTTTCAGACTTTCAGACAACTCTGAAGTGCAATGAGTCATTGCCTAGGTTCCACTAAACTAAGGTAGCATAAGGTGGCATCCCTAATATAGGAAGGGTCGATTAGTCTTTGGTCAGCATGAGGAAACTCCATAAAATAAACAGTCACCCACTTTGCCCCTAAAGGTATAAGGCAGTGAAATCTCTAGAAGGAAATATGTTTTTATTTCACTGTATCACTGTCATCCCCGTGATTCATCGAGCTGGTGCTCCAGCGGGCACCAGGAATGTCTGCATTCATCCTAGCCCTGAGATTTTAGCAGCCTCTCCTTAGTTGTCCTCCCCAACTGTGCCCCATTGGAGGGTCTTTCAGGGTCAGGGGAATGAGACATATTATTGTTACTGTTTTTGGCATATTGAATACGCCATGGGAGCTTGCCAGGCTCTGCTGTGCAGGCAGGATACTACCGAGAGTATCCTGGAGAATATTGTGACATTTAATTAAGGATCTTTTTTTGTTTTCCAGCAGAAAGGGTACCAGAAAGTTAACGCACAGCACACTCAGTTAAGCTGTCTGGGGTTTGACAGGAGACCAGCACACTTAGTGTAACTATCGGGGGTATCTCAAAGTAGCAGAAACCTAAATCCAACATCAAAAACAAGGGAAGTCAGAAAACAAAAGGACAAGAAAAAACTCAAACTTGAGGAGGCAGAGGCAGAAATCCACAAGGGTGAAGACGGTGAGGGCCAAAGAGGCAGCCTTGGGGAAGGGTGGGGGTGGGGGAGGGAGACCGGGATTAATTTGGATTAAATTAATCCAAATTAAATTTTATTTTTAAAAATCTCTCTGTCACCACCCACAATTAGAAAGTGAGAAAAATTAGATTTTTTTACATAAATCATTATTTGGATTCTACCTGAACTCACTGCACAAATGGAATACGAAAAATATTTTATTTAGATTAATATAATACCACAAGTACTGGTAAATCAAAGGAAGTTTAATCAATAATTCTGTGAACGTTAATAACTACTACCAGTTAATCACTTAATCACTTAACTTCCCGTTAGTCGTCGATTTGCTCCAGCGGGTGCCAGTAATGTCTCCATTTGTCCCTGTCACGTGCTAGTGTAGCCCAATGGCATCTGTTCGCTCTGGGAACATGAAAGGGCCTCAAACCGATCGTTCATGATCTTGACGAAGAAGTCTGACCATCTGGTAGGTGGGCGGCCACGCGGTCTTTTGACATCCCGTGGAATCCAGTCGGTAACAGCTCTAGTCCAGCGGTCATCTTTAAATCTCATTACGTGACCAGCCCATCTGATTTTCGACACCTTGGCAAATGAGACAGCGTCCCTGATCCTTGATCGTCGACGGATGTCAGAACTCCGGATTCTTTCTCTCATTTGAGTGAAACGTGATATTCCAAGCATAGCTCTTTCTATTCTTCTTTGGGAGACCTGAATAGCGTTCTCATCTTGTTTGCGTAGGGCCCAGGTCTCTGAGGCATATGTTAATGCAGGAGGAACAGTGGAATCAAAGAGATGTGCCCGGAGCTGGAGGTTCTTTGTCCTCTTAGCTATTTCTTCGACGTTCTTGAAGGCGTTCCAAGCCGCTCTCTTCCTCCTGCGCAGCTCGGGTGCCAGGTCATTTGTCATGTTGACCTCTCGACCTAGGTACACATAGCTGTTGCATTCGGAGATGGTCGTTCCATTGAGAGCGAATGGGGCGTCAGGAACAAGGCTGTTTCTCATAAACATTGTCTTCGTAAGATTCAGCTGGAGTCCTACCTTTCCACACTCACGGTCAAAGTCGGCCAGTATTTGTGCCGCTTGGCTGATGTTTGGTGTTATTAAAACAATGTCATCAGCAAAGCGGAGGTGGTGTAGTTGCCGACCATCTATCTTCACTCCCATTCATTCCCATTCCAGTCGTTGCATGATGTTCTCGAGGGTGGCACTGAAGAGTTTCGGTGAAATGGTATCACCCTACTGCACCCCTTTCTTGACATCAACGATCACTTCTTTGTAGAATGGTGAGATCCTGGTAGTGAATCCGCAATAGAGCTCACGGAGGATCCTGATGTATTGGGCTTGAATGCCCTGATTGGCTAGGGCTTCAATGACCGCTTCCATCTCAACAGAATCAAAGGCCTTCTTTAAATCAATGAACGTTAAACAGAGCGGCATCTTGAACTCCTGAGAAACCTCAATGAGCTTGGTTATCGTGTGGATATGGTCGATGGTGCTGAATCCTTTGCGGAACCCTGCTTGCTCGCATGGTTGTCCTTCATCTAGTGTTCTGCTAATCCTATTTAGGATGACTCGAGTGAACAACTTGTAGATGACAGACAATAGGCAGATCGGGCGATAGTTGCCAATGTCATGGATGTCTCCCTTCTTGAACAATAGTACGGTCCTGCTGGTTTTCTATTGGGACGGAACCTTGCATTCAGACAGGTAGCGAGTGAAGAGCCGAGCCAGTGTATTGATGAGTACTGACGGCAGGTTCTTCAGGTGTTCAGGTCTGACCTTGTCTGGGCCGGGTGCTGTTTGTTTCTTTACCGATGAAATGGCATGTCGGATTTCAGAAGGGAGAATGTTGGGAACGACATATCCATCCTTTGGAATTTGGTATGTCGGCAAGTGGACATGGCTATCGAAGAGATTTGAGTAGAAGTCATGGATAATCTTCTCCATTGCCGTTCTGGAGGATGTGATGGATCCATCAGGACGTTGGAGGGCAGTCATCTTGGTCTTGTAGTTGGCGAAGAACAGACGGGCGTTACGAATACTTTTCCCGGCTTCTGCCGCATCTACCCGTACTTCTGCTCTTCTCTCTTTGAGGTCTTCCTTGATTGCATCTCTGCACTGCTTTGCAAGCTCGGACGTTAGCTTGCGGTTGCCTGAGGCATGCGCCAAACCACGCTGGCGAATTAGCTCAAGAGTTTTCGAAGATAGGCGATTTTTTGTGGCTATCTCTCTCTTGGCGTTCCTCGCACATTCATGGAGGTGCTAAACCAGTCTATCGTATTCCTCGTCAATGTTGTCAACAATGGCATCTTCCCATGTTGCCGCAATAGTGCCAAAGAGTTCCCAGTTGGTGGTCATTCTGGGAGTTCTCTTTTTGAACTTTGCAGCCCTTTCTCCCCGCTCTGTGAAGTAGAATTTTGCATGAAGGAGACGGTGGTCCGATTAATAACTACTACCACTAAGTAGTATTAATTGTAGTGCTGCTACAGTTGTTACTAGTATTCCCCTTGTGGCCAATAATTATGATTAACCAGGTTCTGTTGTAACATAAGTTAAGTATTATAATTCCAGTTTTTACTGAAGAAATAACATTTGGAGAGTTTAAGTAAATTGCCTGAGATTTTAAAATTATAAAGCAATGAACCACATCTAGGCTATCTAATTTGAAACTTTTTTTCTAGACCATAATAATTTCCAAAAAAAAATTAATAAATTGTTGTAGATTCTAAAGACAGCATAGCAGTTAAGGCATTTTCCTTGTGCACTGCTTACCCAGGTTTAATCCCCAGCTCCACATAATGGTTCTTTGAGCCCCAACAGGGGTGGTCCCTGAGTGCAGAGCTAGGAGAAAGCTCTTAGCACTTCAAGGTGTGGCTCCAAATGAAAGTGAGGAGGAGGAGGAAGAGGAAAAGAAAAAGAAGAGAAGGAGCAAATCTTTATCTTCAAACAATGACATGATATGATTGTTAGAAAAATAGAAAATACGTACACCAATTACATAAATGTTGTTATGCCCACCTTTGATATTAAAAATCCAAGAATAAACTGAACTTGCATCTAATATTTGCCTGAAGAAAAACCACATATCTGGAGTCAATAAGAGCAGCTTGGCTCTTCATATTTTGAATTTTTGCCATTATTTAAAAATATAAAGACAGAATGTAACATGTTAGAAGTAAAATGTCAGCCAATGTCCTTAGTCAAAACTGGATATTGATTTATTTTTATAGAGCTCTAAAGTGATGCAATGAAGACATTTTGACATAGTGAATACATTGTTCAATTTTTTTGTAGCAGCATTAAAATTTATAATTAGATACTTTAAACTTAAAAAGACACTAACATTTTCAGAAAAAAAATGTTCCTCACAAATAACCATTAGGTTTATAAATACTTATAATTCTACAGG